AGCGCCTGAAGGCAGGACAAGAAGCAACGGGTGGAAACTCATCAAGGAGAGAAGCAACCAAGAACTAAGAAGAAATGTCCTGACAATGAGGACAATTAACCAGTGGAAAGGCTTGATTGCTCCATCACTGGAGGCATTCAAGAAGAGACTGGACTGCCATTTGTCTGAAATGCCATAGACTCTCCTGCTCGAGCAGGGGGTTGGATTAGATGACCTCCAAGGTCCCTTCCAACTCTGTCGTTCTATGTTTCATGTTCTATCTCCCTGCTCTTACCATAGCATTGCAGTGGGGATGTCTGGACCAGCCAGTTAACGATCCTCCTTTACCATCCCTCCGGCTTGCAACTTTTATAGATTTATTTGCGAGACCGTTGCGAAATCAAGAGTTCCGCCGTGATTTATAAAGTAGTTTGACAAAACAGCGGGATTATTTTCAATTAAAAAGGTTCCATCTGAGCTGACGAGCTTTCCCACTTTGAAGAAGAGGCCAAGCCAAAGAAACAAACATTTTCACACTCAAGTTACATACACACACACACACACATACACACCCTTCACTTCTGGGCATTTGTAAAGCGTTCTCTTTACACCTTACCCTACGTTAGCAGTGAGTCACCGTTGCCTTGCAGAACCTCATTCAACAAACCTGGTTGGCCTGCTGTGACTTTGCAATTCATAAAACCACGGATGTTGGCTTGACCTGGCGTGCAAACTCACCAACTCTCCAGGATACACAGTTCTTGAACTGCCACCTTTAATCTAGGGATTGTTCTAAGTTGCAACGGCACTGAAAAAAGTGACCATTTTCCAGACTTATGACCGTTGTTGCATCACGTGATCAAAATCCGGACCCTTGGCAACTATCTCCTAGTTTTGACGGTCGCACCATCCCGGGGTCATGCGATCCCCTTTTGCGATTCCCCTTCTGACAAGCAAAATCAAAGCCAGATTCACTTAACAACTGTGTTACTAACTTCACAACTGCACTGATTCAGTGGCAAGAAAAGTCGTAAAATGGGGCCAAAGCCCACTGCCTCACTTAGCGACCGAAATGACGGGCTGTACTGTGACCGAGCCGAGGACTATCTGTACTGAATTCACCGACAAGCAGTGACTGATGTTAAGCATAAAATGGGTTATTTTTTTTCTCCTCTTTGCCTGCATTTTTAGTCTGCGCTTCGCGTTTCTCCTTGAAATGTTCGTGTTTCTTTAAGATGGAAGGTGGTTTAAATCCCAAGTAATAAAGATGATTAAAAATAAAGAGAGTGGTGATTTTTAAAAAAAAATCCAACTCACCAACTATCTTTCCTTTAAATCAAGCACGAAGGGACAAGTTACGGCACACGACGAGGGGCGATTCCAGTAAATAAATAATGCAAAGAAGTTGGACAACTTCCCAAAATTATATTCTCGATAACAAACATGAACAACACAGAAGCATTATTTTCGGTAGCTTGTGAGAGTTTCTCATTATTATTAATTCTTTATGAAAGGACTATTATTATCATTATTACTGGCACAGCAGAAGGATTATTATATTTATTTTGGGGAGGTCTCCTCTCAATGGATATTTCTCACCACAACGCAAGAAGATTTGCACTTTTGTGGTGGCCTCACACACAGCTTGCTGGACCAGTGCAGGGTATTGTAAACTAGAGTTCTCTATCCATCACGCTTAGAGCCGAATTCACACAACACAATACACCAATTCTTAAACCCGAGGAAAGAATCACAATTACTGTACTGATGTAACACAGAAAGCTTTTGACTTAGAACAGTTTAGGGACCATTCAAAGCTACGACGCTGAAAAAAGTAACTTATGACCATTTTTTACACTTATGACCATTGTAGTATCCCCATGGTCGCATGATCAAAACTGGGAGGCTCACATTTATGATGGTTGGTAGCATCCCGGGATCACGTGATCCTCTTTCACAACCTTCTAATGAGCACAGTCAACGGGGGAAGCCGGATTCACTTAACAACCATGTTATTAACTTAACAACTGCAGCAATTCACTTAACGAACTGGAGCAAGAAAGGTCGTAAAATGGGACAACACTCACTTAGCAACTGTCTGGCTTAATGACAGAAATTTTGGTCGTAACCCGAGTACTATCCAATGAACCCATCTAAGCTTAGTCCTCATGACTGCAGAGTTGTCAGATTCCCAGAAGATGTTGAATCACAACTGAACCAACGCAATTTTGATCTTCTTGGCCCACCTGAATTTGTCATTTTACGCTAACTCAGTCTAGGAATACAAAAGAATCCTTGCCCTCTGGAAATGACCATCAACGCTTCCGCTTAAGGGCAACGTCGGAAGACAAATGTCTTCTTGATGACAGCTCTTACAAAGTCCTTGCCAGCGGGCTGTTCTCGGTGGGGATGATGGGAATTGATGTCCCACACACTATCTGGAGAGCTTTGAGGTTCTCCAACTTCACACTCAATCCCCAACTTCACTCTTAAGTGGACGTTCAAGATGTACAGTATCCCAATCTACTGAGCTTGCACAAAGACGATATCTCCCAGTTTAATGTATCCACCCACACAGAGACACACTTAAATTTCCAGCCCCGTCTCCATGTTTAGACACTAATTAACGAGGCAGCAAGGAGACTGATTATCCCCACCGTGGCCATATTTAAATTCAGGAATCCAGCCTAGGTATTGATCCTTAAAAAGCACCAGAAAGTCTGCTTTAAGCCAACCCAGCTCATTTGTCTACCCAGCCAATTCTGCCAGCCCATTGACCGATCAAAATAAGACCACTCAAGCATTTCCCCCACCCTTACCCTAGCTTGTAAAGCCATATTTGATCATCATCTTTTGGACCAGGGATATTACAGAATGAGATAACACAACACAATAACAGAGTTGGAAGGGATCTTGAAGATCTTCTACTCCAACCCCTGCTCAGGAAGGAAACCCTATACCATTTCAGACAACTGAGTGTCCAGTCTCTTCTTGAAAACCTCCAGTGATGGAGCACCCACAACTTCTGGAGGCAAGCTGTTCCACTGGTTAATTATTCTCACTGTTAGAAAGTTTCTACTTAATTCCACATTGATTTTCTCCTTGATTAGTTTCCATTCTTTGTTTCTTGTCTTGCCTTCTGGTGCTTTGGAGAATAAGTTGACCCTCTCCTCTTTGTGGCAGCCCCTGAAATATTGGAACACTGCTATCATGTCCCCCCTCGTTCTTCTCTTCATTAAACTAGACATACCCAATTCCTGCAACCGTCCTTCCTATATTTTAGCCTCCAGTCCCCTGATCATCTTTGTTGCTCTTCTCTGCACTCTTTCCAGAGTCTCAACATTTTTTTTTTTTTACATCGTGGCGACAAATCTGGACCCACTATTCCGAGCATGGTCTTACCAAGGCATTGTAAAGTGGTATTAACACTTCACGTGATCTTGAGGTAGAAAAGGGGATTGAGATGGACATAACAGAAGCATCTGGAAGTGACTGTTCTTCTCTCATTGTATGGGTGTGTCAAAGCCAAATGGAGACAATCGGCTTTTGCATGAACTTCAGTCAAATAAGGAGAGTAGCAAAGTTGCCCAATGTCCAGGGTGGCTGAGCTCTTGAATGGCCTAGGTGGAGTCAAGTATTTATCCTCTTTGGGTGGAACCCAAGGATATTGGGCAATCCCACTAGGATAGCAATCCAAAGAGAAGGCAGGGCGTGTGCCAAGCCCCCGGGCCTCTTTGTGGGTGCTCCATCACTGTAGGTTTTTAAGAAGAGATTGGACAGCCATTTGTCCAGAAAGATCTAGGGTCTCCTGCTTGAGCAGAGGGTTGGACTAGACAACCTCCAAGGTCCCTTCCAGCCACTTGTGGGTGCTCCATCACTGGAGGTTTTCAAGAGGAATCTGGACAACCATTTGTCCAGAAAGATATGGAGTCTCTGGCTTGAGCAGGAGGTTGGCCTAGAAGACCTCAAGGTCCCTTCCAGCTCTGTTATTCAGTTATTCTTTCAGTTGAAAAGAATGCCCTTTGGTTGACATGGGGCAGCCGCTACCTTCATGGGGCTAGCAAATAAAATCTTCCCAGATCCTATTCAGATGACATACAATAAGATCTGGGAAGAACCCCTACATCACTTTAAACCAGCAACTGAGTTTGTTTAAAGTAATCTAGGGAAAGCTGGGTTCACCCTAAACCCAGAGAAATGCAGTGTAGGTTACCAGGAAACCCGATAATTGAGGATTTAGCTGATTCCTTCCTCTAAAGAACAAGGTTCTCCTGCCATCTCCAAGGTCCCTTCCAGCCGTATGATTCTACGTTCTACATTCTGTTTCTCTTCCCCCAGACGTAAAGTGTGGTTTCTTTGCATTAAGTTCCCCTAGCATAATGCCCAATGCAACTCTTAAGGAAGATTCATGCCCAGTTGAATATGGCACCCAACCTGCATCCTTTGACACCTGACTCTTGAGGACCACAAAGCAAAGACACCTCCTCAAAAGTTAAGAGTTTGTTCCAGAAAAGAGTTTTCCCCAGCTCCTTTTGCAAACCTTTGAATAAAAGGAGACCTTTTTGCACAGAGAAAGTATATTTTGTATAAAAAACTAGAAACGGCAAGGATCAAATTCAGACGGGACTTCCACTCTTCCACCCCACCCACCCCCCTTATCCCACAACCCACAGTTTCAACGTACAAATTATTCTACTGTGAAAATTCACTTCTCCGGTCTGTCTGACTTGGCCTGGCGTTGCTGTCTCCAAGAATTGAGAACAGCCAGATGTTTCCTGAGCCCCAGGACCCATTTGGCCTTTGCTAAAAGGCCTGGAGCCGGATCAAAACCAAAACGGACTCAACATTTGACAGAAGTGACAAATTGCTCAAACAACTTCCTTCCCACACGTGCAACAACAAAAAAAAACATCAACCGCCTTTTCAAGGCGCTGCGCCTGGCCACCACGACTTTGGGGGAACTGCAACTCCACCTCCTGTGCTGGAGCCAAACAGGGTGTAAATAAGGAGGGTGTACTTACATGCGTGCAGAACCGCTCGGGCGGATCCCCACAGGTGATGCCGGAGGGCTCCACCCGGACCGTCGCAAAGTCTTTCATAGCCACAGCTTTGGGCTGGCAAGCGTAAAACTCCCACATCGGTCCATTGTCCGTGGTGACCCAGGATTTGCAGATATCATACTGTCCCATGACCAGAGGGAGACAATGCAGTAAGGTGACCACGTGGTAAAGCATGGCAGAGGCGGCCAAGCAGAAAGGATCCCGGAATCGTGAGCAAGTCGGCGACTGGCTTGAGGGAAGTTCTCTGGATCAGCATGGAAGCATCCCGTGGAAGACTGACCCTGGAGAGGTCCAGTTGAGCAGGAGGAGGAAGGCCATTCTCTATCTCTCTGTCTTAGCCATGGGAAACAGCTCTCCCAAGCACGCCTCGGCGATCAAGTCTTATTCCACTTCATCCTCTCCTTCTGATGGCTAAGCAGTCTCTGGATGTGAAGATAGCTAGAGGTGACTCTCCCCAATCAATTGAGAGAGCTATCAAATTCTCATTTTGTGATGAAATTGGACCGGTCGAGGGCAGCGGTGGGAGGACATATATGAGAGAGAGAGAGAGAGAGAGAGAAGAAAAAGAAGGAGGAAGAGGAGGAGGACGAGGACGAGGAGGAGTGTTGTGTGAAGAAGAGCTTAAAAAGTTACAGGATTGAGTAGAGTTATGTTTTCATTCTCCCCTTGTGCTAACCGCTACATGGACCAAGCTGTCAAGTGCTTCTTTTCACCTTCTTTAAGGAAAAAAACAAAACATTTGAGGCTAAAAAAAAGAGGGGAAAAAATAGAATGTGTGCTTCACATTTCCCCCAAGCAAGTTTCTTGACCAATAAAGTTCAAGAAGACAATTAATTCGTGATTTTGGTGCCCCCCCTCCTTTTTTCCCTTAATTCTTTGTAGAAAGCAGCCAGCGACAGTTTCACACCCTTCAACTCATCGGCCTCTAAATCTCCCACTTGTCCAGCTTCAAGGGAGAAGAAACTCACTCCTTTGGCACCGCAGCCTGCAACAGAGATTTAAAGAGAAGAACAAAAATAAGTCAGATTAGCTGGAGGGTGGGGGAAAAAAAAATAAAGTTTTGTATCAGCAAAAGAGAGTCCCCAGAGAGAGCATGAAAAGACAGCAGCTTCTCTGGCTTCTAAAGGATGGGTGTGCTATCCTGTCTTTTTTTTTCTCTCCCTCCCGTTAAATCCGGGTCACATTGCGATCCACAGAAACCAGAAGTGGTGCCTTAAAAAAATAAAATGAAATAAGGCAGAGGAAAAAAGATTAAAAAAAAACAACAACAACCCAAGAGTAAGCAGGAATCTAGTGAGGGGCTGAGCAGAAGGGAAGCCAAACCCCATAAATAATGTATCCCACAACTGAAAATCCAGCCCAGTTCCTGCCAAGAAAATTCATCTGGACCAGGGAAAAGCAGCACCACCAGCAGCAGCAGTTTGAAAGATTCATGAGGATCCCCAAAACAGAAGGAGCTGTCACTTTTGCCCTGGCACCTGGGAGAGCAAGATCTGAGTTCCCACTGTCTGCTTTTTTTTTTTTTTTTTTTTGGTACTCTGTTGGCAAACTCTGCTACAATCAAGCAGGCAGGGAGCGCCCCCCCATCCTGTACGTACACCCCTCTCTTCCAACTCAGAAGGCCAAAGACACCCCACACACACCTCCAATTGCTTGCCCAAGCTGGAAAAAAATAATACATCCTTGCTCAAGGTTTTGCAAAGTGCCACCGTGCGTTCAGAAGACCTGGAAAGATCCCCAAACTGTTTTAACATCACCGTTTTCCTCTTAAGTCTCCCTTCTTTGGATAAACTCCAGCATTTCTGCTCCTCTAGCTTTTATTTTTTTTAAAAAAAGAAAGAAAGTAAGTAAGAAAGGTGAAAGGCTAACCTGGTCAAGCTCTGTCCCTTGTCTTCTAGCTCATTAGAGGATTAAATTTCCCAACTCCTCCAGTTGGAAATAATCTCCCGGAGAAAAGCAAGACCTGGTTACTATTTTTGAACTCAAGATTAAGCTGGGGGAGGCTGAGACGAAGCCAAGAAGAAAAGGAAGGAACGGAGTGATGCAAAAATGATGTTATGAGCCCCCCACATACACACACCTCTTTCCTGACATCAGATCTGATTTTCGCCATCAAGCGTTCTCCCCTAATGTCGCTTCCTCACCACATCAGATTTGGCACCCGGTAATTCTGACATTAATCATGGAAAAGATGTAGAATCTCCCGGGCTGTATCAAGCCCACTGTGGGCTTTGAAGAGACATCTGTCATGTCATTTTTGGGAGCCGGTAGCCTTGGTGAAAAGAGAGTGAAATATCCAGGACAAACTATCTCCCTGAAATCTGCAGTTTTAATCTTTGCACCTCATGGATATTTTATAGAAATTGCTTTTCCCTGCTCTGCAAAAAAAAAAAAAAAAATGTTATTAGGATCCCACCAAGACTGTTCGGAGTCCTTTCCTTCCCGCATGAGGATAAATCTTGATTATTAAGAAAGTCCACTTTCCTAAGAAGAAGTGGAATCAATGTCTTGGTTTCCTTTTAAGAATCCCGGGCGGTCCTCGGAGACTGTAGTAGCTTGCCTCACAAAATTAGATTTTATCTGGGTATCTGGACTATTCTCCCTTGCCCCCCCCCCCCGTTATTGGATTAAGCCTGCTTTTGAAATACGAGAGGAAACACCAGCGTTTGCAACACCCTACTGAGGAATTAAGCAGTCAGCTTAACAGTGCACTTGGCAATTAAATGCAACATTTCTCAGAAAACATACACAGGCAGGCAAGAAAGAAAAAAACAAAACAAAACAAAAGAGAGGGAATGAACTTAGGCAGGAAGGAAATTGTACAAGAATATTGCTTGGCTGTTTGGAAAAAAAATAAGCAATCAATCCTTGTGGTTTGACCGTTCTTGTTTTCTTCTCTTTTTCCGGCTATTTTTTGGTGGACGTTGAAATGGAGCTGAGTTTTGCTGCGTGGAAGATAAATAACCAAAGCAGCCCCCAAAACCTGAAACAACTTGAAGGGAATTGCATTCTCCAGGGGAAAAAGAAAACATGCTCCAGAGGTAGGTCCTTCTCAAGCATTTTAAGACTCCCTTCTTCAAATCCATGGCCCTGCTCCAAAGGATGTTTTTGGTTTTTTTTTAAAGATATTTCTGGCTGAAGACAAGACAGCCCCAAGGCAAGGCTCAACAAAACTCTAGCTTTCTGCCAACTTTCTTTTTTTGGGGGGGGGGGGGGAAATCCCAAAATATAGGGGTTGAAAGCCTTGCTGGAACAGAAAGGATTTTGTCCCAGTTGGGCATAAGAAGAAGCTTGATAGGATGTTTGAGAAGAAAACGGACACATAAAAGTCACCTGGAAATCAAGGTAGGAGAGCAGAAATATTTGGGGTTAGGGTACCCTTGAAAGTTTTGGAAGGGAAGAAGGTACTGTAGACAGGGCCAAAAAAAAAAAAGGCCCAGAGATCACATTTCACAAAGTTGGATGGATTCAGATGACCTCTTTTGTTGTTCCCTTGTCAAGCACTGGGCTGGCCAGGGCCTTGCAATTTTGCAAACCACTAAGAAACTCAATACCTCATTCAGGGGATTCTCGAGTAAGTCAAGCTAAAAAGGAGGCATTTGGCATTTCAACCCTCTTAACTTTATATATATATATATATATATATATATATATATATATATATATGTGTGTGTGTGTGTGTGTGTGTGTGTGTGTGTCTGTGTGTGTGTGTGTGTATAAAATATATAAAAATATCCAGGCAAGGCTGAGTTGCTCTCCAAATGAGTAAAATGAAATGATCTAATCCGGGACGAGCAGATCCGTACCAAAATAAGCAGGGAGAAAAGTGATTCAGCTAGTACATTTTAGTCACATACACAACAGAAACACACACACACACACACACACACACAGAGAGAGAGAGAGAGAGAGACACAGAGAGAGAAAAAACAGTGCAGGATGCCGAAAACACAGAAAGAAATCTGTGCGGTTGTTATTCATTTCCTGTTAGGAGATCTCTCTGCTTCTCTCTCTTAATAATCATAATATTAAAATCAGATTAATGTATGGTGTGTTTCTCCCTCCCCCTTTTAAGGGCAGAGTGAATCTGGAAAGAGAGAAGCCTGTTTGGGAAGAGAAAGAGGCCAGGAGAAGGGTCTGGAGAATGGGGGGGGGGGAGAACACGGGAAAGATTTGGACTGGGGTGGGAAGAAAAATGAAAATTGATGCATTGTTTGGAGGGCTTTAGAGGAGCCCAAGAGAAGCTTCAGGCGAAGGTGAGAAAGAAGGAGAAGGAAGGAAAGAAAGAGAAGGAGCGGGAAAAAGACAGGAAGGAAGGAAGGAAGGAAGGAAGGAAGGAAGGAAGGAAGGAAGGAAGGAAGGAGAGAGAGGAAGGAGGAAAGAAAGAGAAGAAACAGACAGGAAGGAAGGAGAAAAGGAGAATGAGAGGAAGGAAAGAAGGAAAGAAAGGAGAGAGAGAAAGACAGGAAGGAAAAAAGAAGGAAGGAAAAGTGAGGGAGGGAGGAAAGCAAAGAGAAAAAGGGTGATGGTGAAGATGATGGGGCACAAATCCGCCGGGGAAATCCGGAACGCGGGGGGGGGGAGGGCGAAGAGCGCCCTACGACGTCCCCCTTCCTCGGATGTTGGTGCAATTGTAGAGATTCACACGCGCAAAAATAGGCAACCCACTCGCCTTCCCCCCCGCCTCCCGCCCCCAGCATCTCCTTCGGATAAGGCAGGTTGTTGCTAACTTTTTCCCTCCAGCCTGGCCAGCAAAGCCGTGAGGGGGGGGGGGGAGGCAGGGACGGCTGCGGACTTGGCCGGCCGCTGGGGCAGAGCGAGGGCCCGAGAGGAGCCCGAGGGATCTCCGCGCTTACTCACCGGGGACGGGCAGGCGCTCCGGGTCCAGACCGGCCGGCGGAGACAAGAGCGCGGCGGGGAGGCGGGCGGGACGGGTGCCAGGCAGGGAGGGGGCGCCGCAGAGGCGGGCTTGCAGGTCCTACCCCCCCCCACACACACACCCAGCCTCTGGGCAATGGGCCTCCTCTCTCCCGCGAAGTTGGGGAAGGGGTAAATGCGGCGAGGAAGAGGGGGAGAAAGAAGGGATGAAGCGATGGAGATTCGGCCAGGCAAAAAAAAAAAAAAGGAAGCCTCGCCTCCCTCCCGTCCTCCTTTCTCTCTCTCCTTCCTTTTCCTCCTTCTCTTCTTTCCTCCCTTCGCCCGCCTCCTTTCTCTCCTTTCCTTTTTTTCTTTCCTTCCTGTCTTCTTCGTCCCTTCTTTTTCTTTCCTTCTCTCCTTCCTTCCTTCGCTTTCTGTCCTTGCCTTTTTCCCTTCTTTCCTCCTTTCTTCCTTCGCTTCCCTTCTCCCTTCCCTCAGCCTCTCCCTCCTTCCTTCGTCTTTTTCTCCTCTCCTCTTTCCCCTTTCTCTCTTTCCTTCCTTCCTTCCTTCTTCCCTCCCGGCTCACTTTCTTACTTTTCTCCTCCTCCTCCTCCTCCCTCTCCCTTCCCTCCTTCTCCCTCCCTCGCCCTCCGCCTCCCCAAAGTATGAGAGGGGGGGAGGGGAGGAGAGGGGAGGGGGCAGAGGGCTGCGGAGGGGGGGAGGGCTGGGGGCAGGCGCGGGAGGGGCGGCGTTCAACTTTTCTCCTGGCAGAAAGAGACGCCCCGAGGGAGGGTCCCGCTGGCCCGCATGCCCCCCTCCCCAAAGGCGCCCGGAGGGGGGCTCAGCCGGCGGGCCGGAGAGAGGCTCAAGGGCGGCGCCGGAGGGGCGATCTCCTGCCGGGCTGCCCGACTTCAGGCGCCGCCGAGGGGGCCCGCCGCCCCGGCCCTCCCGCTGCCCGGCCCGGCACCGCGCCTGGCCGGGGCTGCGCAACTCCCTCCGCGGACTCCGAGCGCAGCCCGGCAGCGGCCATCCCGCGGGTCCCGCGCTCTTAAAGGAGCAGCGCGGAGGAAGCCCGGCCGCACAAGGCGGAGCCCGGGCGGGGCGTCCGAAGCAGCCCGCTGCAAGGCTGGGGAGAGGGGGGGCGCAGGGGGGGATGCCAGGGGGAGGATGTGGGACCGGGGGGGGGGGAGAGAAGCGACAAGACAGATCTCAGGATTTGGGATATATTGGGGAGCTTTCTTTCTTTCTTTCTTTCTTTCTTTCTTTCTTTCCCTTCTCTCCCTTCCTTCCTTTCCTTTCCTCCCTCCCTCCTTTCTTCTTCCCTCCATCTCACCATTTTTCTCTTTCTATCTCAGTTTTCCCTTTTTCTTCCCTCCCTCCCTCCCTCTGTTGCTTCCCTCCTTCATTCTCCTTCCTTCCTGCCTTCCTTCCTTCCTTCCTCTTTCTCTCTCTCTCATTCTCCTTCCTTCCTTCCTTCCTTCCTTCCTTCCTTCCTCTTTCTCTCTCTCTCATTCTCCTTCCTTCCCTCTGTTGCTTCCCTCCATTCTCCTTCTTTCCTTTTCCTCTCTCTCTCTCTTTCATTCTCCTTTTCTCCTTCCTTCCTTCCATCCTCTTTCTCTCTCTCTCATTCTCTTTTCTCCTTCCTTCCTTCCTTCCTTCCTTCCTTCCTTCCTTCCTTCCTTCCTTCCCTCTGTTGCTTCCCTCCTTCATTCTCCCTCCTCCCTCACTTCCCCCCTCCCAACACCATTTTCTATGTTGATCACCAGACTCAAAACAATTTACTTCCCGGTTGGGGAACTCTGGGAGTTGAATTCATAGGGAACTCTGGGAATTCCACCTATGTTAACGTTGCCAAAGTTGAGAAACGCCGATCTAAGCACCTTGTGTCTATTATGACTTCCTTGGTCTCATCCAGCTCTACTACTGTTCAGTAGTTGCAGATCTGTCAGATGGGGGAATGGACACTAAATGAATCAGGAGAGGGGGGCCTATACCATTACAAGTCCCCCCCCCCAGTGCTCCTATACAGCAGCCCAGTTCATAATGAAGAGGGCCAAAAAGGCAAAGCTGACCTTGGGGAAGGTATGAATGAACTTTGAGGAAGGACTGGGAAAGGAGGCTGCACACAACAGAGATAGGAGGAAGCAGGAGGAAGAAATTAAAAAGATCCCTGCCTTGGTTTTGCAGGCTTTCAAGAGTCTGCTATTAGTATCACTATAAAGTCATATTCCTGGAATCCCTGTGGTGTTTTCTTGGCCTGGCCTCTCTCAAAAGGCTGATCAATGCTCCCATAAACAAAGGAGGAGAGGGTGGGAGGGAGAGAAATGGATAAATAGAGATAGATAGATGGATAGAGATTGATGATAGATAGATAGATAGATAGATAGATACATACATACATACATACATACATACATACATATAAAGAGAGACATGAATGGATATAGATGGATAAACAGAGATGGATGGATAGAGGATAGATAGATAGAGAGAGAGAGAGAGAGAGAGAGACAGACAGACAGATATAGAATGAGAAAGAGAGACATGGATGCATATAGATGGATAAAGAGATGGATGGATGGATAGATAGATAGATAGACGGACGGACAGACACAGAAAGATAGATATAGAATGAGAAAGAGAAATGGATGCATATAGATGGATAAATAGAGATGAATGGATTAGAGAGAAGATAGGATAGATAGATAGATAGATAGATAGATAGATAGATAGATAGATAGATAGATAGGAGAGAGAGAGAGATGGATGGATGGTTGGATAGAAAGACAGAGACAAGCGGCAACCATGGGGATGCTGCAACAGTTGTAAGTATGAGGACCAGTCATAAGTCACTTTTTCCAGCGCCGTCATAACTTCCAAGAGTTGCTAAACAAACGGTCGTAAGTTGAAGGCGACCTGTACAATAAATAAGTCAAAAGCATCCACAGGCTACTTAAAAGAAACTGAAACGGATCCATCAGTGACTGACTGATCAACCGGATCTGAAAATAGTTGTCGAGGTGGGAAGGAGGCTGCCGTTTTATTGATTAAACAGCATAATTTTATTGTTAATCTCTCTGCTGTGACCCAAACATGACTCGGTCCATGCTACGGTGATTGTTATCATTCATATTCTCTCCACTATTCCTTCCTGGCAACGTCCATCAATTTAAAACAAGGCTGCGGAATGAAACCATGAAATAATGTCATAAACTACCCTCACATTAAAATCCAGCAGCACCAGCCCTGACTATAAAATACAATCACTTTGCAATTAAATTGCCATATCACCCACCGAGAGCTGCAGACAATACACCGTTTGGCTAAAAATGGAT